CAATAAAATAACATTTTTTAAAAAAGAAAAAAAGAATTCCATTCTGTTTTAATGAAAGGAAGAAATTTTAAGTAACCAGAACTTTTTAATAATGAAGTGATCCCCTTGTATAACAGTGACACTTCTGTTATAAAAGTATGTGACATCTAGTAGAGATGCTATACATGAGATTTTAGCACCTCAAAATTTTAAGGTCTCTTCTAACTCCAGAAAACTATTATTTGAAAAAGTACATAAATTATTTAAAAATAATCTATGAAAATATTTCAGGGACAACTAATTTTGATGATGATTAATATTTCTCTGAAGAATGAAGATATAGCTTTGGTCTAAATGTTTAGTTTACTTTGAAACACAGTTGTAGCTAATGAAAGTTCTCAAAGAAATATATAGTTAACATATTTCAATGATATTTCACATGAGGGTAGAGGTTAAGTAGCTATTCAGCTATTCTTGTCCAGCAACATCTGAGGACACAGGGAAGAAGTGGAAATAGCTGGGATTTTGGAAACAGAGGTCTGAATTACAAACCAAAGGCACCACTCCCTAACTTTGACTTTTCATAAGGCATTTATTTCTACTAAAATTCCCATCTCTTTATTGTTACATGGGGATAATAAAAACAGGCATCTTAACTCACCAGTGCTTGAAAGGTTCTCATTGCAAAATGCTTTGTAAATCATATGTTCAGATGATTATCAGAACTTCAAAACCTCATAAACCTTGTAATGGGCTTAGATAAGGGTAGCCTGAAAGCAGGCTCCGAGACAGGGATTTGAGGGTAATGATTTATTTGGATAGAGATCCCAGAAAGCTCTAGTAGGAGAATAGGGAAAGTGAGATAGAGAGGGAAAAAAGGGAAGTGTGTGATACACCCACTTGACTTGAATAAGGACTGCCTAGCAGATTAGTAAATTATGGGTGTATCTCTGGATGATTGACATGTAGGCCAGCAAACTGAGGGAGGAAAACACCACCACCACCACCACCACCCCGTGAAGATGTGGGTGGTACCAAACAGTAGGCTTACAGCCTAGGCAGAATAAAAAGGGAAAGAAGAAAGTGTTCCTCCTTTTTTGGAGGGGCTCCAGTCTTTGTCATTGCCTTTGGACACTGGTTTCCAGTTCCTTCCCTCTAGGGCAGACTCTTCAGGCTTCCAATGCAGGCTTCTTGGCCTTCCAACAGATTTGCACCCATGACTCTTCAGTGAGCTTCCAAGCCTTCAATCTTTGACTGCTACTAGAACATCTGGCTCTCCAGCTTGCAGATGGCCATTTTGTAATTTTTCATCTCTGACCTGGCAGATGGCCACTGGGACTCTTCCACTTCTGATCCTGTAATCCTACCTAATAAATCTCTTGTATAATTATACACATATTTTATAGTGAATGTGTTTCTCTATAGAACCTTGACTAATATAGTAACTGAGGTGTGATCTTGCTGAGGACTCCTAGGAGAATGTAGGGAACAGGGGAAGAGGACGTTACCAGAATCTCTGCAGTAAGTCCTAGCCTCCTGTGAGCCACGGCAGCACACGGTGAATTACAGGAAAAGTAGACAAATGAGACTGAGAAGAAGCTGAGCTTTGGGTCTGATCAGTGCTGCTCTGGGCAGCAAAGACAAGAAGCCCTAGCTTGCAGCACCTTTTATTTAGTACATCAGGAGAAACAAATGTAGCAAATGAATATGTAGATTTCAGTATCACATTAGGATGAACAAGGTGTAACAAAAGACTGGGTGGGGGTGGTGGAAATCTAAGAACCATGAGGTACTATGCAGATGAAGATTTAGTTCCTCCCAGGAACTACACAGATGAAGGTTTGGTTCCTCCCAGGGTGTCTCTTGCAGGTGTGGTCTTGTCCTGGAGCGTTACAGCGTCATGGGATCATTGAGATCTCCCTTGTGACCTGAGGCCAAAATGGAATTATGTCTTGGAATGTTATAGCTGGCCTGTAGGCAGGAGAACTAGGCCTACTCAAATGATTTTTCCCTAGAATTATGTAGCATTGCTCCCAACAGGAGAATGCACAGAACACACCAGAGATTTGGGGAAACTGAGGTCTTCTTCCATCAGTCCCATAGTTTTGGTTAAGTCTAATCCTGGGACACTATCCCCATGCTTCTCACCTGCTTCTGTGCAGTCCTCAGGCAAATGTCACAGGTGCTTATAGTAGAGGTCATTGAGTCTTTGAGCCCACACAGGGAAATGTGCACAAGGCAACAACAGTAGCCACTCCATTTTCCTATGTTCATTTGAAAAAAAAACTAAAGCACAAAGAAATTTTAAAACTTGGGGGATAAATACACAAGTGCATATCAAAGATGTATTTCCCAACCTAGTAAGGACTATCAAATTTTACTTTACCAATTCACTAAAAGCTTGTGGTTTTCTTAAATGCCATGTGCATAAAGGTTGACTAAATGACAATATTTTGTTAGGTCTTAGACTAAAGGAGTATTGAGTTGAGAAACATGGCAATAGGGAAAGTGTAGAAAACAATGAGAATATGCCTCGCAAGTGCAAGGTCCTGAGTTCAATCCCTGGTACCAAAAAAAAAAAAAAAAAATGAGAATAAAAACCAAATGGTTAAAAATGCAAATATTTGCAAGAAAGGTAAGACAGCATCAGTTGTTTAGATTTAAATGCTCATTAACCAAGATTTCCTACACCTACTTTTCTCTCTATCTCTATTCCTATATTGATGAAGACCTTTGAAAAACCATAGAGATTTTACCCATGTCTGGTTCCACTCTTCCATTTCCAGGCACTTCTTACATCACATAGTCCTCAGAGTATAGTTTTCTGTCTTGCCAGTGCACATCTCTGATTCTGACCTGCAAGAAACAGCATGCTAACCCTCACTTCACTCAGCTGTAAAGTAAGATCTACCGAAGCCCAGGGCTGTCAGCCACCCTTCTTAGCAGGGTAAGGAAGGAAATTCAGTTCAGCAATCTACCATGAGGTGTGAAACCTTGGAGCCCCTTGCTTCTGAACGTTTTATGTTATTGACTTTCATTGCGGCCTATGAGCAAGTCATTTAACTTCCTTGGCTCAGTTAACCATATAGAAAATGAACATGATAATATCTCACAAGGGTATTGTGAGATTATTCAATGTTTATAAAGTGCTTGGGAAATGAAAGGCCCTAGATGTGCCTAGAAATGTCATTATTCATCTGGCCAGTTGAATTTAGGCAGCTGGAATGTTATAGAACTCTACTTGCTAGATAATTTTCTGTAGTACCTCACAAATCACAAGGATTAAATCTATGAGAATTGAGATGATTAATTTCATGCCATAGTGAAGGACTCAGATTTTTTTTTTTCTGAATGTTCACTTTTGAATCATTTTCACAGAATGTTTTTTCCTTTCTCAAGAGCAGAAAATTATTCAGACACTCATTCTTTAATGTCAGGAGCTCTACTTCTTCCTTAAGTACAATGGGTCTCTCCTTGTCTCATATTCTGTGTTGCCTTCTTTGTTTACTAAGTCATTCAACAAGCAATCATTGAGCCTTAGCTACATTTCAGGTACTCTGCTAAGGGTTGGAAAAACACAACATATGCTATCACCTTGGAGGAGTTCCCAGCCTGGAAGGAGAGACAGACACAGAAACAAATCATTACCAAGGAATATAAGCTCCAAAGAGCCATGGAAACCAGACAAATTTTTGCACTTTGTGTCAGGTAGTGAATGAACTTAAATTCACTTGTGTAACTTAGTGTCCCTCCTTTGAAATCTCTTCCTTGAATCCTGTGTGATTGCATCTATCCATCCTGGCTCTATTACTACCATTAGTCTTCATTGGCCCCTATTTCTCTTTAGTTCTCTAAATGCAGGTTACTTACTGTTCTATGTGTGATATTATCTCCCTCCCTTCCTCTCTTTCTCTCTGCCTTCTTCCATCTCTCCCTCTGTCCTTAATACATCCATTCCCTGATGTTGGTGACCTTTCTCCTAAGTTTCAGATCTACTTGGAGGTCTTCAAACTCAACATGAGCCACCCAATTCATAAAATTGCTTCCTCTACTTGATATCTCAAATTCATAATTCTATGCTTTCTCTTCTAACCAGGCTTTAAATCTAAGCATCACATGAAACTTTCTTCTTCCTCATCCTCACATCAAAATGACTGTTGGGGCTGGGGATTTAGCTCAGTGGTTCTACCACCTGCCTTGAAAGTCCAAGGACCCAAATTGGATCCCTGGTACCAAAAAAAAAATGACTGCCATGTCTTCTCTGTTTTGATTCTATAAGGTTTCTCAGACACTGTATTCTACTGGCACTTCCCATTTACATTCTCAATGGTCTACTATCTCTTATCCCTACTATAAAATTAATTCTCCAATGTGGTCCATGTACACTGACAACTCACATTTTCTTAAATGTTCTTCTATTTACATCATTTAGCTGTTCAAAAATATTGATCACTCCCTAATGCCTACTAATTTGAGCCAAATTTCCTCATTCTGGAATTTAGGATCTCTTGCAAACTGCCCACAAAGTTGCTTTTTAAACTTTCTCCTATCACATCCCCACACTAGGCATAAGATGGAACAGGTGGACAGTTACTGATCTCTGGGTTGATATCTTGTTAGTCATCCCTAGCCTTTACATGCACTGTTTCTCCAGCCCAGAGTGTTTTCCTTGCTCACCTCCCTGGTATATCAAGGCCAGTCTCAAATATTGCAGCTTCTACATAACACCCCTTTCTGATCCCCGGCTCTGTTTGGTTGATTCTTCCTTCAAACCTCCAAAACTCTTTGCTTCACCTCTGCTGGCATGAATTTGCAGTATTTTTACTCTTTTTCTTATCCCCTTCCAGATTGAAATCCCCTTAAAGAAACAATGCATACTATTCCCTCTTTATTATTTCCACTAACATTAGAGCAACACTTGTTGAATCAAATAAACTTAATCCTTAAAAATCTTGGGCTTCTTGTTGTTTTGCCTACTCTTCATTTATATAAATGTGCCTTGCTCTATAAAATAGAATAGCTGACCTTGTTAATGTAAAGAAAAAAACAACAAAAAAGCTGCAGTGTTTGCTTTAATAATATAAATATTCCTTATTTCAATTTAACCATAAAACAAACTTTTTTGAGTCACTGGTTCTGAGCTATCTGCTCAGTCCTAGAACACAGAAATGTGTAGGACCTAGTCCATGACCACAAGGAACTCATAGGCAAGTTGAGGAGAAAAACCTGTGAACAAATGCATTGCAGCACCAGGTATGACACGTGAGACTGAAAATGTGGGCAAGGCAAAAGGAAGGAAGCTATGCATGAATCTGGGGGACAGTGAGTGAGAGAGAACTTGGCCCATGTGGGAGAAGCCAGCCAGAGTTGTCCTGGAAAACAAAGTCGGTGTGGGCGTGGGGGCAGTGTCCCATGTGGTTGCATTTGCAAAACCTGGGCATTTGAAATAATAGTGACATAACTGGATCATGGCCAGTTTAGTATTGCTGCAGCATAAAATACATATGGAGGGTTTCTAATGGGATGAAAGTAGAGAAGTAGTACAGAGCCACATTTAGAATAGCCTTTTATATCTTACTAAGAAGTTTGAATTTTTTCCTGTACATGGTACAGGGAGCTGGTACAGGGTTTTAAGCAAGGCTAAGGGTCTGTCTTCTTAAATTGGATTTTTTAAATAATGGGCTCAATTTTGATGAAAAAAAAAAAAATACTAGCCTGGCTAGGAAAAGGAGGTCAGGCCAGTATCTGGAGAACAGTACTGCATTTTCTGAGGAATGAATATGCTTAAATCTGTATTAAAACTGTAGGTGGAGGACCTATTTCCTGTTAACCCTGTCTTCCATAACAGGTAGCAACTGCAACATTTCAAGCTTATATCCACCAGATAGTTTTCTAAGCATTTTTATGAATTACTTCACTTAATCTGTTCAACAACGATATGAAGGTACCCGTCCAGAGGGAGAAACTGAGGTACAGAGGGTTAAGCAGCGGGCCCAAGCGTCTCCAGATGGTGAGAGGGAGAACCGAGGCTCCCAGGCAGCGTGTGCGTCACAGCCTCTCTACATGTTGCAAAAAACTGAGGAACATATCTGCGCCTCTGTTTGTTTTCCTTCTTTTTAATGTGAGAACAATTATGTTTACTATGTAGTGTAGGAACTGGTTGTGCAGCGCCATGTTAATGAAGGATTCTAAGGCAGCACAGCAGAATCCGAAAGAGCATTCCGGGTGGGAACTGCTCCCTGTTCCTAGTTTCCCATCTCGGTTCCTCCCGCTGTGACAAAGAAAGCGATTGTTATTCAAAACAGAATATTCTTACCAGCACTGGCAACCACATCTACAAGTTAAGCACACGTTTTCTAAAAGTAGAGAAAATTCCAGGAGGGAAAAGCATCTCTCGCAGCCTGGAGGGAGGAGGCATCTAATTGCCTATTCATGAGGGAGCTGGTCTCTCAGGGCCTGAAACATTTCCAAACAGGCTGTGCAGAGAATGGCAGCAGCTATGAAAACAGCAGGTCCCTGAATTCAAAATCTTGATGTAAACACACAGCACAAATCTTGAAACTCACTCTTCATCAACTGCCGCGTCTCTAATATTAGCACTTTGGAGCTTGTTGTGTATGAGCACGTGTGTGCATATATGCATAGGATTCACATAGGTACAAGCAGAGGTATTATTGTAATGAAGAAAGGTTCCAAAAACCACATCTGACAATCTGCTGCATTACTTTAGAGTCACGAATCACATTCTGTGTGTTTGTACTCTCGTGCATACATGTACACACACACACACACTGATATATATCTATGGCTTCCTGTTTTAGGGTGTGACAGTCTGGGATAAATCTCACCTGTGAGTCTCTCTGTATGATCTTGTATGCCTTTTCAAAAGAATGTATAACAAATTAATTGAAACAAATCTTGCAGAAAATGAACATGACAAAATTTCTGCCTCTTTCTCAAACTTGAAATGTTGACTTCCTAAAGTTGTTGTGTAATGAAATAAGGATTCTAGTGGAACTGAAACATTTACAAAGCCACTTGGATTTTATCTTGTTCTGTCTGAACATAGAGAAGGCAGCACTCTTCTCTACTTGAGAGTTCCATGACCCTCCACTTCCATTCCAGGCTCATCATGAGTGCTAAAGTGAGATCCAGAAAGGTGCCATGTCCAAAGTGGTAAAATGCACTGAAGATTCAGCTCTTCCTGTGAATGTGGCTTTACATGGCGAGGACATAAAATAGGATTATCAATTTGTGATTCTAGATGGATTTCTAGGACCTAGACACAAGTCTAAAGTGAAATTTTGGGGAGAGCTCAGGCTGCTAACTGGGAAACTCTTCCAGATTATGAGTAGCGAGAGTGATGAAAGTTTTACATCTATTTTTAAAAATGGCAAATGAAGGAGTCAAGTGGGAGATGTCTTAGGATGCAGGATACTTTGGGCATAGGCATAAGGAGGTTCAGGCCATGCCAGGATTTGAAGAAGGGGAATGATTCGGTTCCATTAAAGACCATGGAAATAGATGGCAATTTGCTAAAAGAAAAAGTATTCCCTGGCTGAGTATTTTAAGAAAACAAAAGTTGCTGCACTGAAGTAGACTAGAAGAAGAAAGAAAAATCAAGAGATAGGGAGGAGGCTGCAATACTCAATAGCTAGGTAGGGAACCATCATGATGAGAGTGAGATTTGCAACACTGAAGGCAGGATCCAACCTGTTTTCAGAAAATTTTAAGTCGAAGGCCATCAAATTTAGCCTAGTGGCAAGGATGTAAGTAGACCCTAGTTTAAAGAAGAAAAGCCAGAGGTAGCTCATAGCATTTAAGCAGCCTAAGGTAACCCAACCAAGGATAAAAGAGCTCTTGATCCACACCTTGTTCCACCTACCTCCAAACTAGCTCAGTGTCTCCACTCTGTTCTCAGAAAACACCAGTGATAAACCAGGCATCACTACAGACTTGTCACAAAAACTAGCATGATTATTAGAAGGTATGTGTACACTCAAATTTGATGTAGTAAATTCCAGTTAAACTAGTGACTACCTATGCAATGGGGTTCAAAAATTTCAGAGGACAAAAGACAATATTGTATGGTGCAGTCATCTAACCCTGAATCTCCTTTCTTCTCAGTTTGTGTGTTCACAACCATCCAGGGCAAGCAGAACTACAAGAATCTTTTTTTTTTTTTTAACCTCAGTACTAAAATGCTTTGCCTAATCCTCAAAGGACACTCAAATACAAAGGTGAATTGATTTGTCACCACCTAGAATCAATTCATCATTTACTGGGGACTAGGAAATATACAGCTCAAATAAGTTAAATCCAGAGTTCATCTGACCCCTCCTGTACACTAGCAGTTACAAATACTTGCCAGCAAAATCCTTTATCAGGGCTAGTTTTCATAAAGGTGAATTTCCTCCATTGCCCTCTTATTTCATTTCCTCCAAGAATATTTGCAAATGAATTGTACAAAAACTTGGTAAAAGGTGGAAGATAAAGTGACCCTCTGAAAATTAAAGTTCTGGCTCCCACTGGAAATAAAATTGTTACAACTTCCCTCCAGAACTTGAAAATTAATTATGGCCATTTTTAAGGAGAGTCAATTAGTTTAGAACAGAGTTAATCAATGAGAATATACTGAGTCCCAGAGGGTGCCAGGCACTTCAGAAACAGGCCAGCTGGTGCACTAGGGTCCTCTGCAGCACATCAGCCATCTCACATATGTGGAGGATGATTTTCCAACATTGGTCCAGAGCCCTTCTCAGTGAAACTACTGACATGCAGCAAAGAGAGTCTTGGACCTCACACCAACTCTTACGCTTAGCTAGGTTTGTCAGTAAGTCTTCTCAAGGTTTTTTTCTTAAAGTATGTAATTAGAATTGAAAGTCAGATCCTTCCTGGGAAGCAGAATGTATGAAGTCAGAAAAGTTATCAGAACTAAAACAAATGAGGCTGGAGCAGTGATCTGACAATGGAGTTGATTTTTTGGAATATAGACCCTCGATTCTACAATGCAGACTTCACCAGCTAGAAGGGAAAGGAAGAACTCTGTAAGAATATGCATGTTATAAGGAGCTCCCGTCTACATCATGTCCATAGTGTTATTTTGGAGGGGAAGTTATTGGGCAGTGGACAGCCACCAACTTCAACCACAGAGTACTGTGGGAAGGATTCCCCTACCCTGGTGATATCCTTGTGAAGTCATTCCTAATACCTAATCTGAAACTTATATCCATATTAGGTTCAAAGTTAAAATCATTTCAGATTGATCAAGAACATACTCAACTGACAATACTTTCTGTAACAGCTTTGTGCTGCCGGATGTCAGATGAAATTTCCTGCTTATTCCAACGCCAAACCCCAGGTGTAGCTGCCACTACTTCCACCGAATTCCAATTATTTCATTTTGAAAGATGCCACCCATGGACAGGTGCATAGGGAACCTAACTTTGAAGTGAGGACTTCTCTAAACCATGCTGGTTTAAAATCCCAGGGAATTCCTTTTTTGCAACAAAGCTCCTAGAGTGTTTTTACACAAGGAAATGAAAAACTAAAATTACTGTATAAGGTATTCAGCTGATTTCCCTAGGGGATTTTGGTTGGGAAGAAAGGTACTACTGTGAAAATTTCATTTATTACAGGCCTGTAAGATTCATCTCTTTCACTCTTAAACCCACATAGGCTATTCAAAAACCTCCAATTTGGGCCATCTTTCTTGCTACTTATTATTTGGGAACAATACATTTATTAAGTTCTTTATTTTTTTAACCTCTTTGATTCAAATATGTGTTCAAATGTGTTTTTTATTTTTGATATGAGTTTTACTTTAATTTTACAAATAGGTAATTATATCCATAGTACAAAATTCAAAACTACAAGATGATGTGTAGGGGAATATAATTCTCTTTACATCCCTGTCTTCCAGGCAGTCTCAGAGGCAACCACTGCCACTGTTTTATGATACTTTTGAACATATTTCAAGCATTACAAATATAGATCTATATAAGTATAGATTTTTTTACACAAATGGCAGTATATTATACAAGGTGTTCCAAATCTTATGTGTGGGTGTGTATTTATTTTATATAGAGCTTATAGAATATT